AATTTGTTTTATTTCAATAAACCTTGACATCCTCCGTTATGCTAATAAATTTCATATTTTTGTAAACTTAGTGTTTTTTCATCTACATGTATTGATGATTTTTCCTTAATTCATCCACTTTGGAATGGACCTAAGTAGGGCATATAATACTTATTACTCAATAATAGGTTTTATAAAATATTAAGGACAATAATGTTATTTCTAATACCCAAGTGATCTTGCACAACTATATAGCTTATCAATACTAAAAACAAGGTATAGAATAATGTCATTTCTAAAGAAATTTTTCATATTATGACTGAAAAAACAAAACTCATTGACTTCAAAAAAAATATAGTTGAATTGATTTTTTATTATATAAAAGTTCAATTTCTTCCAGTAACCTATACCTACCACATTCAAAACTATTATGAAGCTTATCTCAGGAATTTCTTAAACAAATTTATTTAGGTAGATTATTCTGAGTATAGGTAACAGAAAACCTACACTAAGACCATGCTATTATCCATGTTATCAGACTATACTTACTTTCCTCAAGTTACAATACAGCCAACCTATCTAGACCTTTAATCACACTAAACCCATATACGTCATATCAAAGTGGTTTTCCTTTTAAGAGAATAAATGTTCAAGGAAAGATGCATGTTAGTGGATCAAAACATCTTGTCACTACCATTTCATCAGCAAACTGTGAACAGAAAATCTTCATCAACTACTTATCTTTCAACAACCACTGATTTTAGTAACCAACTCACCTTCCTCCATAAATGTAAACATAACCAAATTCCTAAGACTTAAGGTTAAATTACCTATCAACACCCTACAATGTCAAAAGCTCATAAACTTATAAACCCATAGCCTGAGATAGGATCAAATATCACCATATAATAAATAAGCACAAGATACAGAATATAATCAACAACCTATATAAGAAGACATATAATACCAAAGGCAACATACACTAAGTTATTCAATCATACCAACACACATGTAACTATTAAAGAAATTCACAAATAAGATCTAAATTCACTTATCAATTTTAGAAACAAGAAACCTCCTAACACTGTAGACACTCCCAAATACACCTTAATAAACTTTGCCCAACACATAAGTAAATACCTATTTCAGATCAAGTTACAACAACAGAAGACACAATGTACAGCCTACCAGAAAAATAATTCAATATAAGAATAAAGTCAGCAGTCTGGAATGCTATGAAATGTAAATCCCACTTTAATATCACCTTATAAAAAACAAACCACCTCAGAAACTTGAAGAAAATGAATACCATTATAATTCTACAAGCAAAGAAAGAGAATGCTACTCTAATCATGGACAAAGGTAACCACTACAAAAAGATCATTAAAGTCAAAAACCACCTACAAACAAACAAGTTAACCAAACAGCAAACAAGTCACAAACAGACACCACAGCACCATCCCACACGTGTGTGGTTTACATAAAATTCACAACCAACTCTACCCTCACTGTCTCATAGACATAGATTTATTATGCCACACCTTAGCTAGATATCTGGTATATATAACATCACCATTAACACATCAAATATCCTCACTTTTTGTAACGATATAAAAGCAACCATGATAATCACACAACATAATTATCAGTTTCATCTTATCCAAGCTTATAATTCTGCCAACACCGTAAAAATAAAAAAACTCATAAGGAATGCACTCAACTGTCAAACCCCACAATAATAGAAATCACAACCTTTTGTCTCAACACAACCCATTTCCAACATAAATATAAGTACTACCAAAAATAAGAAAGCCTAGCCCTGAGCTCACATCTATCACCAGTACTCACTAACATCCACATGGTGCACTTCAGAGTTACCATACTTAAAACATCCATTCTAAACCTCAAGATTTAGCTCAGGTATGTTGATGAATACATTCATGCAGCCCCAACAGACAAGATCCAAAAATTCATGAATTACCTGAACAGACAACATTCACCAATAGAAATAGGAATGAGATAAACTCACATTTTTTGATGATGTTATTACCAAAACACACAACTCTTATACCACAAGAATTTATAGAAAACCCATGAATATGGGTAAATACTTAGATTATAAATCAAACCACCCCAATAATGGAAAAACAGGTGTCACAGACTGTCTGCTTCTAGAATAAACAAGACTTGTAATATCAACGAAGATAAAAATTAATACACACACACACTATTACAAACCTTCTTTATAATGGATATAGAAAATACTTGGAAAGGATGAAAATAGAGAAAATTAACAGGAATATAATTACAGAAATATAGCCATATTTCCTCATGTCAAAGGTCTCTCAGAAAGCCTACAAAAGATACGTAAACATAAAGCCACGACCAGCACAATACAATCACTGTTATCACCAAACCTATATATATATATAAGCATAACAACACAATACAATCGTAGTTAGTACCAAAATTAAAGATACGTAAACATGAAGCCACAACACAATACAATCACAGTTAGTACCAAACCTATAGATATATATATAAGCATAACAACACAATACAATCATAGTTAGTACCAAACTTAAAGATACGTAAACATGAAGCCACAACACAATACAATCACAGTTAGTACCAAACCTATAGATATATATATATATAAGCATAACAACACAATACAATCATAGTTAGTACCAAACTTAAAGATACATAAACATGAAGCCACAACACAATCACAGTTAGTACCAAACCTAGATATGTAAACATAAAGCCACGACCAGCACAATACAATCAAAGTTAGCAACAAACCTATAGATATATATATAAGCATAACAACACAATACAACTGTAGTTAGTACTAAACCTAAGAATTCAACAGAGAGGAAAAAACACCATTTATAATATCCCCTGTGATTATTCTATACTTACATTACTGATGAGAATAAAATACACAGCATTACTGTACTAATATAACCCACAAAAACCACTGAACTAGTTCTTAAGATGTTAGTATCAACATGCTAGTGATGTGGCCACCCATGATATTCCAGGTTGACTACAAGTAATTTACACATATCTAATGTACCACATCCATGTAGATTATTAAGGTTTTGCTTTGGAATCTTAAAAAAAAAGGTGTAGAATCATAAGAATAATTTTTTCAATGTGGAAGTAACTAACAAATCACTGCTAACAATCCTACTCTACTAAATAAATATAATTGCCACCTCTTAGTAACAATTTTCAATATGAAAAACAATATTTTACTGGTTCGTTCCTTAAAATTTCCATTGTACCCACCCCCTTAATTTTGAGACAAGAAAACGCAGTACCTTAAACTATAGAATCATGGAACAACACTGGATAGGCATAAAATAAAATTATGAAATAATGACTAAGTCAGTAGTGATAAATTGAAACTCAAAACAAGAGCAAAATAGAGAGAGCAGAGTCAAAATAGTAAAGAATCATTGGTGCTACTATGGCACGCAATCTACAAAGATATTTATACTATAGCATGCAATCTACAGATATTTACACTATAGCATGCAATCTACAGATATTTACACTATATCGTGCAGTCTACACAAATACTATCATCATCATCACTGTTTTAATGATTCACTAAAACATACTTTCTTGCTAAGTAATTTATATCTATCCACATTTTGTTCAGCAAATAATAATAATAATTTAATAAGTTGTGTGATCCAAAAGGGTACCATATATTTAGGTTATAATTGTGCTAGTTTTGATTGTTGGAATTCATTTCATTCCAATTATATTTGCCCCTAAAACGTTATGTAATGGTGTTTTGTACTTTATTAGTTTAAAAGCGTTATTTTTAATAAATGGTGCCCATTGCAAATAAACGAAAGTTAAAATAGTGATGATAATAGTATCCGTGTGGACCGCAAGCTATAGTGTAAATATCTTTATAGATCTCATGCTACAGTAGCATTGAATCATTAGCTGATGTCAGCCTAAGATTGACTAGATAAACATGTACTTAGACTTAATTGTATGAAGGCACAGTTTCAAGAACAACTTAGCCTAGTCAATCAATAGATCTTCCCTTAACACTTGTACATGTACTGCTTTCCTTGAAAATGGACCGTTTAATAATATCACTGTCTCTCCACAAAATAACATGGCATAAAAACCATACCCCTTCATGACAGTGACGAATTACGTATATATATATACTGCTACTGAGATGATTAAATGAAATATAAAATGGAAGTTGGAATAACTTTACCAAAAGAAATATTTTACAAATTAATATTTCATTCTAGTAATATAGAAAAAAAAATAGTTTTTGCTATAGTAAATATAAAATATATATAATATTTATTATTATTATTGTAATACATCTTCTATGTTTACTAACACACACACAACATTATATAATTCACCAAAGCTGTACAAAAGTCAATCAAATAATCTGGTCTTGTTTGTCTTTGGACATATATGCAAGGCTGTTCAATGACTATTTGTATTAGCCATTTTTAATTTTGAACTTATAGCCTATAGGGAAAACAGCTAGTCAACAACACCCACCTTCAACTCTTGGGTTCCTCTTGCTTGACTAGGTTAAATAGGATTTAACCTTCACACTTATAATGCACCCACAACCCGTTAAAATGTAGGTATTTTTATTTTATTTTATTACAGTGACAGGATGCAAATGGTGGACTCAAAGGTCCATGGAGTTTAGCATGCCAGTGACTAGACTGTGTTTGGCCATGTCTAGAGTCAATTTCATGGCACCGACTAGAATGGCATACAGCTAATGCAGCAACAAAACTTTAAGTATACTTGCACATAAACAAAAAAGACAGTTACTGCTAAACGAAATTATCTAGCTTTACTGTTTTCAAAATAAAATAAAATATGTGTGTTACTTTATTAATTATGATAATCCTGTATCTGATATAATTTCTATGTATAGTTTAATAATAACAGGCTTAAATAATAGTAATGGTGAGAAACGAAAAGTGAAACACGAACTAATATCAACTTACCTTTTTATAAAATTAGGTTTAAAGATCGAGGTTTATTACTTATAAGTTATATTATAACACTTATAATATATTCTGGCATGAAAATTTGAAATAAAATCTCAAGTATTCTTTGCTCAATATTTTAAATTAACAAACACCAAATGTACACGATATCGTTGAACTCGAACAAGTTGAAGTTCTTGCATAACCTTCTTTTTCCGCATCAAATTACTAAAAGTTATATTTTAGACTTTACAAACATGAAAAAAATATTAAACATCACAATATCAACATCATATCAACCTGCCTAGTTTCATACAACCGGTACTGAATCGTCATCACGATGATTGTCAGACCTCTAGCGGTATACATTTATTATACAAAATTATTATTTAAATACTGAAATTTCATGACAACTTTATAAACTTCCAGTGTGAAACGACTATAAAGTTACTTCATACTGCATAGAGTCACCAGAAGTCCCAGTAAAATTGGAATCGTCTATGTTTGTAGTTTTATTATTTTTGTCGCGATCAGAAATAGTAAAAATATTGAATTGTCCCAGTTTCTGTGGGCTTCATTGTGAATTTGATATATATGGTTGTCATGGTACATTGTTCCTTTAATAACCGCAAATAATGCAGTTGTAGATGTTCGTTTGGTTGAGAAGATGAAAATGTGCTTTATTGACCCAAATATTTTCAAGCCGATTGTCATCTACTTGAACACGTGAGGTGAATCCTAAAGTAAAGTTAAACTGCTCCTCAGGATCTGCAGTAAGAAGGTAGTTTTTTAATCCTGTATAGAAACAATTTTACTGGCTTACGCATCACCTGAGTTGGCCGGTAGACCTGGCAACTTCATAAGTGCTGCATGTTCCTTGGGGATTATTTTGTTCAATGTCTGATGACAGTTGTCGAACTTCTGCAACGACTTCCATGCATGTAGGTCCTGATCATAGATCCTGTTTCCTCAAATTTATTTGCATTGCATTTATTGTTATAAAAAATTTACAAGTGCTATGCGTTCTTAGAGAGACAATTTGATAGTAGGCATACATACAGGCAAACTGATACGTCTGGCAGTTTTGTCTGCTTACGTAAAAAGGAAATAACATCAAAGGTGAGTCATGTAGCGTATCTTTCTTTTTGATTTTCTTTTAATTCTCTATCTCTTTATTTTTGACTTTATCTTAATTTTCTGTTTCTCTCTTCCTGTCTGAGGGTGGTCTCGGTATGTCTGCAGTCTTATAACGCTAAAAATCAAGTTCCAATACCCATTGTGGGCACAAAGCAAATAGCCCATTGTGCATCTTTGTGCTCAACTACAAACAAGCTTCCTGTCTTTCTTTTAATTTAACTGTTTCATCAATTCAATAAACTCGGATATCGCCTCGTGAGGTCATCTCGAAGTTGAAGTTTACTGTGTTATAACCTTATGCTTTCGATGGACGAATAACAAATTAGTTTATTTGTTTTTAACCTACAGGCTAATATCACTTATACTCAATGGTACTTGTAGGTGTAAGTTCACAGATAACGTTTCCACTTCCGACAGAGATCTACACAGTAACAGTACTACGAATAACTTTACTTGTACAGTTTTATAGCTAATCGATCGAGTCAATGAATACACACAATAACTAACACTGATCCAAATACGTCACTAAATGACTGGCAATTTATCAACTGAAAACTGACTGCTTACTCACATTTATACTAATGTACCATCTAGATCAGTGTTCCCCAACCTGGGTGGTATCGCCCCCTAGTGGGCGTCTTTGAAATTCAGGGGTCATTTATCTTTGATGGGGCGGCAGGGGGGTGGACAGAAAAGTTTGAGGGTTTCAAAGTTATATTTGTTAAAATCAAACCATAAGCATTGATTATTATTGCCTCACAATTTTCATTTTAGGAAAATATTTTTATAGTCTAAAAATTTATTACAAGAGGGCATGAACGTTCATTGTTTGCTGAAAGCATTTTTACTGCGGTGAAAAAGGTTGGGAAACACTGATCTAGATCTTAGTTCAGTTTCCAAAATCTTAACCTTATGTGTCATGTATCTAACATGTAAATTAAAACATTGAAAATATAGCTTACAACAATATATTGAACTGAAAGGATGCACCATAAAATTATTTGTAGCTACTCATTCTAACACTAAATACTTTTGGAATCAGTACTAGTACGATGAAGCTTATTTCATATGTTACATGTACTAGTTTATTTTACAAAATAGTGTGCACAATCTTCAGTAGCGAAAGAAAAAAAATAATGTTGAAAGGAGAGGTCACGCGAATGAGTATATGTAAACAAGAGTTATCGTCTGAAAGCTTAACCAGTTCTTCAGTTACGGTCCTATCAAAGCAATTAATGTGAAGGATGAATAGAAACAGTCACAGAACAGATTCCCGAGGCACACCACTCATAACATCAAACTAATTAAACAGAAACCCATTAATAGTAACAATTTTCTATTGAGTTAATGATGTTAAACACTTTTCAGTGAGCTTATAGTACTACTCATTTAAAAGAAAAAGCTGTTAAAAATATCACATCCTACAAATAACAATATATAAAATTTTTTGTGCTATCATCTTCTCTGTTTAGATTAATTTGTTTTGTGTTTTACGAAGTACAATACATTTTGCCCAACCTAAGAACAGGAACAAAAGCAAAATATCATATTTTCTTGTAATGATGAACGATAATAAACATAAAATAGTTTGACCAACACTGACAAGAAATACTATATTCAATTGAAACATGTTATAACACAGCTCATTAAGTATGTAGCCTAAATATCCTAATAATCACAAAAAGCTTAAAGAAGTATGTAAGGAGTAACTAGATTTTAAACTTATAAGTAACGTTCGAGAGACAATGAGATGCCAATTGGTCCATGATGGCTGTCACATTCATTTAATCAAAACCCCATCTGCCTATATCCAGCCCTAACACCCCAAGTACTCATCAAGTCTTCGCTTGATGGAGGGGAGTGACCTGCGGGTCGCGAGTTCGCACCTTGTCACCGAATATGCTCGCTCTTTTAGTGTTACGACGTGATGGTCATTCCCACTCTTCGATTAGAGTAGCCCAAAAGTTGGCGGTGTGTAGTGATAATTAGCATGCTCTCCCTCTAGTCTAGCACTTCTAAATTAAGAGCGGCTATCGCAGATAATCCTCCAATAGCTTTGCGCGAAATTTAACAAAAAATAAGCAAAAGAGAGGACATGGTATTATTGATGCGTCCTGTGAACGTTTTCGTATATCCTCTCTTTTCAAGGTCATCCTATTCTGTTTCAACTGGAGATAACGTACACCGTTTCGTAAAACAAACCAGAGTTTCTCTAATACATAATAAACATGATTCGATATACTAGAATTGGTTTCAAAAGTATTTAGTGTTAGAATGAGTAGGTATTGTTGCGTCAGCGAGTCACATGACCACCGTGACGCAACGTTTCTAGAACTATCATGTACTTTGGCGAATGTTCAAGTTCTTACTAGAAATTGGGGAACGCTGGTATATAAAAGAGGGGAAGGTAATGTGTGTGTAATCAGTGAGTAATTGAACTGCAGTCACAGGGTATTGTTGAAGTTAACGTTCGTTCGTTACAGTA